TTGTTATGATTAGCATGGTTCAGTTCTTGTACGCCTAATCTATCATACTCGAAGTAATAGAAATATTTCTGTTTATTTTATTTATGATATTGTTCAATTTGTGTTAAATCAACTATTGCTATCATAGGGGGATAATATTGGAGTACGAAGTTGTGTGTTTTGAAGTATGACCCTGGCTAGCTCTGTTAGTAAATCCATGCGGCTAATACGTTGTTTTTTATTAACAAGAGGAATCTAGTATAATTTTATGTCTTTCCTGCTTTCCTGGGCATTATGATGAACCCTAAAATTGGCAGAAAAATTCCGATCTGCAGATTTGAAAAATTTTCTCAAAATTTCACAATCTGGACTTATGTTTAAAAAATCTTGATCCGCTGCTATTTCCCTCTTCTTTTCGCCTTAAATTGTTTTTTATTAGCTGTTTCATTGTTTGAGTAATTTTCCAATACTGTCATTACTGATATTTTAGCCTGTTTACGTCTCGATTATGTCAAGATCATAAAGGCTCTTGATTAATGAGTTATTTTTATCGTTTGTGTCGGAAATAAAACAATAGTGTTTTGGACCGACTGATGCATTGTAAACCTTACGGAATTGATATCTAAAGGTAGTGTCTCTGTAAAGGCTGGATAATATTTCTTAAGACTTGCCGTTAAAATTGAACTCCTGTTAAATTTGCGATTGTCTTCTTCAATCGTTCATTGAACGTTCAACCGTTTCATGTCATGCATGAAAGGAAATGTGATTAATGATTGCGAATGGGCCGGAAATTATATTTATACTCAGGCGTCTTGTGGCAAAACTTAATCACTAATCCCTGTCATGCTACTATAATATTCCTATTTTTACAGCTATTTTTATATGCGTATCTCTAAACTCAATAAAACCTTGCGTAACAATCGTAATATAATTACATGAATTATCGTAATATAATTACATTGCTGAAAAATGAAGCGTCTCAGTTGCTATGAACGTATTTTTTTTACTAAAAACAATATTATCAACTAAACAATGAACTTGGAACGTGACGAGTAAAAAGTACTTTGTCACATTTCACATTTCTAAATCACATTATTTTTCTTTTAACGCTTTCGTGTGAAATTCACTTAATAAATTAACTGATTGTTTAAAATGGAATACAATGATACACATATATTTCATTAAAATATTTGCGTGCATGCAAGCCAAGCTTCGGTAAGAATATTAGCTATATGATGTTTTAGTTTCTTTAATAGAATACATTCAATAAACATTTCAGTATATATGCGGCAGATTGAGAGACTTTTCTCAAATATTACAGTAATACTCCAATAGTATTGAAACAAGCTTACCTTAAGTGAAGTGTTACCTTACCTGTAGTGTTTCACAGTTTTCGCAAGCTGTATGGAGGAAAGGAAAATAAGCTTTCTATGCTGTTTACATTCACATATCCCGTTGAAATGAGGAATGAAATATGTATTTCGGAAAGAATGTTATAGAAGATTAAAATAGAGCGTTTTTATTGGTTCATGAGTGGTCGCGGACGCTACTTTCCTTGCAGGTGTTCATTTATTGCTTTGAATATTCCGTTATCACGGAAGAGGAATAACGGAAGAGTTGTTGGCCTTTACGACGAGATTCCCCTGCTGTATGAACAACTGGATAAGTACAAAAGCGGAAATTCTGATCAAAAGACATTCCTTTTGCTAATAAACGGCACTCCCTGGCGAAGAAATTTTAGAACTCTAACAGCATCGTCCCAACCACTCATTTCAACATCGCCGGTTTCGTTCAACCTGACGTTATTGTTAATTAGCTCCTGCATAGCAATGATTATATACGATGGCTTCTGTGATCGTCAACTTTTTGTGTGCTAACCTGAACAGGACGTCGACTACGAGGACATCATTTAACTGCTGGAAGGAGCACCTGACCTAAAAAATCTATTTCGGGTAATAGATCTAAACCATTGCTCATCCAACGACCACAACATGTTGTCCAACGACGTGCATGTGCACTGATGAAGGTCCGGGTTAGCGGACCGAAAGCTTTGCAGTACTGCATGAATATTACGTGGTGTACCTACAAGCTTAATTATTTATCGATTGTTATTAATGCAAACATAACGGAATATTATAACTATTACGTATAATCACTATATCATCTTAAATAACAATTTATAATATATAATATATTCATATAACCATGCATATAGCATTCTCTTCAGTAAGACTCGGATGCATAAGTAAGCAAATAGCTATCCACACCTTATCCCACAAACACGTAACAAGGTGTTGACCACAAACCACTATAGCATATAATTATGTGCTACAACGCACTGTCTTGCGTAGGGAAAGTGTAGCAAAGCGTACAACGCAACCAACCAGGTTGCCTGAGCGCAACCAACCACGGGGAGAGAAATGCGTATAGCACTCTCCGTAAGACATAGGCCTAAGCTCAGTGCCTAAATATTATATTGTAAAAGAAGAAGACATTAAGGCTTTGTGGAGTTGTGCTTAGACAGAGATAAGTCAAATGTTTAAAGATATATTAATATATTCTTAAGGTCATAATCTTATAGATAGAGACGTTAATTAATATTATTGGAAAGTTATAAGGAATAGATAGTTATATAAATATAATTGACTCACACTGTGTTTGTTGCGAGTAGAAACAGAACAAAAGCGAGAATTATCAAAGTTTATAGGACCGCGCTCGTAACAATAACATTTATGTATTTTGCATACACGGGTTGCATATCATCAACTACAACACATTTGCGATGATTTGCCCAAAGTACGAAGTAATAAATTAATTGTTTCATATTTAAGATGACACCGCAGTGAAGATCAGGAAAATACAATTTGTGTCCTCCGGCAGGAGTGAAATCTACAATCTTCAATAATTTTAGAGGAGATCTCTTATCTACGCTATCTACGCTACCATAAGCCACAGAGAGTGTTCTTTTTACCTTAAAAAAATTTGTCGCTGAGTGTTTATTTTTAATGCATAGCTACGACTATTATACCATGCTAGAACCATTTCGTGTAAGTTGATTGCCAGTCATTCTAAGACCTCTTTTAACTTTATTGTAGTTCAAATGTGGGGATTTACAGCGAAACGCACTCACACAACGACCAAATTTGTGTACAACGTCGCAACGGGTAGACCAGGCGAATAAACAAGCGCATAAATCACGAATTCCGGATTGTATAAATGAAGTGTGTGTGTATATGTGCTTGTTTATTCGCCTGGTGTACCCGTTGCGACGTTGTACACAAGTTTGGTCGTTGTGTGAGTGCGTTTCGCTGTAAATCCCCACATTTGAACTACAGTTTCTGACTGTTGAACTTCCCAAATACGAACCAATATAAAACAAATTCTATGATACTGTCATTCGTCTTCAAAACTAAAACATGTGTTCAGTGCCTGTTCGCAGGCAACTTATCGTTATAATACGCAGGCCTGGCTAGATCCTACATTTATTAATTGATTTCTTGCTAGCGCCAGAATGCTCTAACTAGAAATACAACAACCATACGAACACTTTAAGAAACCCAAAGCACAGGAGCAGCACAGCTCTGAGCCAAACTCGTGCCAGGTGCTTTATTAGAAAACATAAAGGCTGCATTCAGCGTAATATATAGAGATCTCTGGCTAAGATGTTCGAGCGCGCACGGGTGCTTGGGTGCGAGGCTTAATCTAAGCAAATATGACATTGTATGGAAATTGAAAGACGCTAACGTCAGAATTAAATTTTATCACATGAAAAATAATTATGTAACACGTAATCATGTAATATATATATATAGATGTCGCTTAGCGTTTCAACGAAACATCTTTGCTGTCCAGCTAGTATATATTTTTTCCTCTTCCAACCAAGAATGTGTAACTGTCTTAACTGTGAGGATGATTTGTGTTCAAAAGAAAACCATGATGGGGATAAGTTTTGTTCCACCACTGGTAATATTTTACCGAAATACACTTGAGTGTTTAATTACTTTGTAGGTACGCCACCCATATTAATCAAGACAAAGCTCTTGCAGGATTTCCATAGTTTACTTGCATATAGCTTTCCTCACACAGGGATGGAATTGGTGAGGAGAGAGACATGAAGAAATTTTGAAAAGAAACATATTTTTTGCAAAATTTCGACATCCAGGGCGAACAACAAAATAGACTTCAAATGTATCCTTTCATCGTTCCTGCATGCCAAAAAATGGATATTTCATCGTTCCTGCATGCCAAAAAATGGATATTTCATCGTTCCTGCCTGTGCCAATGACAAATTTTGTTTTTCAACACCAATTGTAAAATTATTAAGGATTTGCTGCCTTTGAAGTGCCTTTCTTGCTCGCTTCAGCCTCACTAACTGCGGGCAGCGGAAAAAAAATTCGAAAGCCACTGGCGTCCGTTTTTGAGTCACGCTATATACCTGAATATAATTTATGTATAACGCACGACGTAATCATTTAACGGCTACTAAAACTTTAAATCAACAACTAATATAGCAGAAAACATGGTAAATCATTTTACTAAATGTCTCGAATTTTGTATTTTGTAATAAATCCTGCAATCGTTGGCATGAATTTATTACAGAAAGAAACGATTTTAAAATTAGTTGTTTCCAGGTCCATGTACGAACCCCAAGCCTTCGGGAATGCAAAATACCATGTTCAGCACTCAGCCGTCACAGAATCATCGCTTTTTGACAGTCGCTTCAAACCCTATTTTGCAAACTGTTTGAGTAAGACGGGTCCTTCTAATTGACCGTAACGAAAAAGATGGCGGCATGTACATTTTGCCGGAATGCATTGCAGACATTAAGAATGATTGACGGAAAAAATATGGCAAGCAAAACTCCTAATGACGTGAAATTTTAACACAGCGAAGAAAATAACTTCCTGTCTTATGCCTGTCCTTTAAAAGACGTCAGTTCGCTTTTTTAAACGATTTCCGACCGCAATGCATTGTAGTAAAATGTACATTCGCTATCTCTTTTGTTATGGTCCTTATGCATAATGACGTCATTTTGTGGTCACGCAGGTAAGAATATTTGAAAATGGCTGCATTGTTTATTATATGAAGTTTAGTTCTAGCATCATTATTCTAACTTATTTGCTCGACTTATTTATTTAAGCCAAATAACAACTTCATACATTTCATACATTTCTTATTTATTTCTTACTTTCATACATTTCTACACGTCGTGACCACAAAGTGACGTCATTATGCATAAGGTCCATTGTTTTTTGACATCATCATCAACAGTTAGGGCTTACTCCAATGATAAAGTATAATGTTCAATTCCCAGATAAATTGACCGCTAAAGAAATGCAGAAATTTGCTATAATAGGGATTCATCCACGACGGTGGAACAAAGCGGTGGTGCCAAACCATGCGCAAGGCGCACGAAAACCGTTGATTTATTTTTTTAGATTTTTCAAGGAAACAATGATCCAACAACAACTGTTACCCACACATTTCAAACTCATATCAAATTTCAGTACATCCGTGTAATGCCGAAATATTGGTACAACTATCCTGCGATGAGGCTCGAGTTGTTCGGTTGCTACTGATCATGAGAATAAATAACCTGCATGTAGTGTTTGAATCATTGTTTTGAATCTTCGCCGAGTGAGAGTACTTGAAATTTAGAATAAAAGCAGTATTACTTAATGTGCTTGTTTTACTTGAATTATGTCGATATTGCCTACTTTAAAAGTTTAAGGCCCTGTCACACTGTTGCGTATGATAGGAACGTATGAGTCGCGTATAAAGATCGTTTCATTCATTTTTATACGCACGAAATAGTCCGTAAAAAAAGACATTTTGCATAAAATTAACTTATTAGACGTATGAGTATCGTATGAGTAGCCTGTCGCTGGCGTATGCCAGCGTATGAATAGCTTACGAGAAGCGTTTGGAATGCGCATGTCAAGTATACCACTGGCGTTTCACAGACTTTAATCGTATATAAGCGGCAGTATTTTCACACGGCTCCATTCGAGAAAATGTCAAACCTACAGTGAAAAAAGAAGAAGACACCATGGCAAATAAGAAGACATCATCTACCCGCGGACGAAGAAAAGGAAAGAGGACATCCATCATCAGCCGTTGCCAAAGCTGACGAACAACGTGTTTGTGCGCCTGCAGATGTAGTTGAACCACCTGATGATGATGCACTTATTTCTGAGACATCTTTAAATAATGCGCGACATGTTCCTGAGCTCTCAAAGTCCCCAACACAACCTTCCCAACACTCCCATAATTCATCGGTTTTATCATCTGAAACCATTGATGACTTCACCTTGTTCCGGCGGGCTGATAGCAAGGAGAAAAATAAGAGGAAGAGGGCGAAGAAAAACCCCTACAACCTCAGCGCCACAGAAGAGGAGCTGATGCTGGAGTTTATCATGGACAATCCTGTGCTGTGGAATGTGTGGAATGTGAAGATGACAGATTATAGGCGGAAAGACAAGAAAGAGAAGATCTGGGAAGAGCAAACACATCAGATGAATAAGACTGTTGACATCCTCAAGGGCTGGTTCAGATCGTTGCGCGACACCCATACGCGCCTTGAGAAGAAGAAAAGCGGGGATAGTGCTCCAAACCTGACTGAGAGAGAAAAGTTTGCCTTCCTGAAGACTGTCACTCGCCACCGACCGGAGCCCATGCAGAGTGTAAGTATACAGCCATATTACCTTAGCAACATGATGACCAAGTAATTTGAGACAATTTCTACATGATATTTTTGGTCTTTCTAGGTGAAGGATACCATCCAGCTTTAAAGAGGAGATCTTAATGCTGCCGAGAGCGCCTGCGCTGATATGCAGGATGTCTTAGATGAAGTCACTCCAATACCATCATCTACCGCTGGAAGGTCCCACAAGCGACCTCAGGACACAGAGAGTGACGTCCTTGAGACTCTACAGAAAAGAGTTGCTGAGTCTGGCACCATCCTCAAAGACATCTACAAAGCCAAACAACAGCCCATTACAGCACGAAGTGTCTTTGCAAATTATGTTAAAGAGAGCCTTTTGACTATGTCCAAGTCCAAGTACAAAGAAGCAAGTCCTCCATCAATAGGTTATTGTCTGAAACTCATGGATGAGGACAGCGATGATGAATTTCCAAGTGCAATGGCGGCTCCATCTATCAAAGTGAACCAACAAGGGATCCCTTCTCAACCACCCCATGATTTGCACCCTACTACAAGTATTCCCTTCTGTTCATTTAAAACATCAGCACCATCCTTCTCTGAGCATTATCAGAAACCTAGCAACATGCCTATTAACATGCCATGGAGTACATGCAGCAGTTTCACCAGCGGTTATTTCAGTATCCACATCATCACAAGACTACCACTAAACAACAGCAGATGATTCCTCCTTCCCAACAACTTGCTCAGCAACCGTTTCAGCAAACTCAGCAACAATGCACTCCTACCTCTGGCCCGGTTCGTGCCTCTTTGGCTTCTGCAACACAGTTAATAACGGAAACGTCTAGCCCAACGCCGCACAGTCCAAGCTCAGCCTTTGAGCAAAGTCACCCGAACATTACTAGTCTTTCAGGATTTCGAGACATCATGGAATCTACTGATGATATTGGATTTCAGGATGAGGTTCTCAACCTTCGACTACCAAGGTGAAAGAAGTATAGACTATTTTGTTACTGTAGTAACTCTCACGATAATCGACATGTCAAAATTAAATTCTCATTTTTTGTTTCTCATAATTTCATAATACACACTGCATTTACACCCTTGTCTAAAGGACAACATTGTATATAGTTTAAAATCTTGCAGTATTAATGTTGGAGTGACTATATAATTAATATGTGTTTCGACATCTACAAAACGTTTTGTTGTGGTTTAGTTTCGTTTACAATAATTTGATCTAAATCATTCTGTCTTGTCTCCATGATCCAGGAATGAAGTTGTTGTTCATGTTCTCTGCATGGTCTAGATGCTGGTTCTGTAATTCAGGGTAGCGTATCCTCATGAGATTGTGCAGGACAATACAAGCTTTAACGATGAGCTTCACTGTAGCAGTGTGATGCTGCATTGTAGTTAACAGAACCTGGAAACGATTCGTCAGGATGCCGAAAGCGTTTTCAACTACTCTTCTGGCGCGGGAAATCCTGTAGTTAAATATCCTCTCTTCATGGTGTAGACCACGGCGGCTGTATGGCTTCATCATTGTCTCTCGGAGGGCAAAGGCATCGTCACCTACAAAGAAGTAGGGGACACTCTGATAGTCATTTGGTAAAGCATCGGGGGCGGGGAATCCTATAGTTCCGTCTTCTGTTAATTCTTTGATTTCAGAGTTGTTGTAGATCTGTGCGTCCGATGATGACCCTTTACCACCGAGGTCTGCCCAGATGAATTTATAATCTGCGTCTACAAGGCCCATGAGTAAACAGAGTAGAATCCCTTGTAGTTGAAATATTGGGATCCACTTTTTGGTGGACACTTGCAGGCAATGTGCTTTCCATCTATAGCACCACATGTATGGGGGAAGTTCCACCTCTTGAGGAACTTATCAGATATGGCACGCCATCCCTCTGGCGTGGTAGGGCAGGTCATTACTTCGGACATGTATTCGTCGATGATGGCTTGGCAAACCTCTCTGACAATAAGTGACTGGGTGTTGTGGGGGACCCTCCATCCGTACTTCATGGCTGAATACGTGCTCCCAGAGGCAAGGTGTCGCAAAGTCAAAGAGAGCTTCAGCCCAGGCTCCAGGGGTCGCCTATACCAGGTATGTTTCTTGGTGATCCTGGGACTCACTCTTGCCAGAAGCTCATCAAACATCTCGGGGACCATCCGCATAAAGTTCTTGAAATATCGCGTATCCTCGCTTCGGAGTTCCACCAGAAGTTGGTCGTAAATGCCAAACTGCCTTCGCCTTCCCATCCATGATCTCATCCATACCTCACGTCTTTTTCTTTTTCTCCTTTTCCTTCTGTTATTTTCTATGTGACGAATCGTCAAAGCTATGAGATCAAACTGGTATTCAAGAAAAGCTAACTCCATCCTTTATCCTCGAAGGTACAAGATGATATGAAGGCATCCAACATAAATATATATTATAAACAATAAATGACATGCTATAATATTTATATACCCTTCCTCGTAACGTTTGCGATACGCTGAGGATACGTCGACCAGGCGTTAACTATACGCTAATTGTACGGTAAATGCGTTACTTAATCGTCAGTCATACGCTAAGCCCTCTATAGACGTTAAACATACGTCACACATAAGTTAGACCTTCGTTACTGATGCGCTATCAACACGTTAGTTGTACGGCACACTTACTCATTTGCGTATGATTAGCGTACTCAACCTATTAGTACAGTACATTTAGCGTCCTTCTGCCGTATTCAGCGTATGACTAGCTTATCTTTACCGCATAAACCATACGTCCAAACACGCACAAGATTTTTAAGCATGCTTAAAAAAAATTTTCTTCCTCGGCGTATACCAGCGTATGTGACCGTTCTTGGAACGTGTATAACTTACGCACGACGTACCACCAACATATTTCAGCGTATTCCGGCGTATGCGTCATATTTATCATACGCTGTCATACGCTAATGTGATACGCAACAGTGTGACAGGGCCTTTACGTAGTCATATATAATTTGAACTTGAATGAGGGTAATGTAAATTTCAAGTAATGAAACTTTTACATCGTTGAAACATTACATTGTTGAAACTTAAGTGTCCTTAAAACACTCGGAAATATGGTAGGATGGACTGTGCATGCATGCATGTCTGTTGCGTTTTCAGATCAGGTGATTGAAACAGCTCAGCGGCTGTTCATTTCACTGATTTTCCTCTGAGACAAAGGATTAAGGTAGTGGAGCTCTTGAAAGACCGTGTAAGTATGTTTTTATATATAGATTAAATTTTGTGTGAAAGTAATGGTTCCACGCACAAGGCGATCCCATAGCTAAAAATGGAACCATCAAAATAGGATATTGTCAGAATTTTACTGATTTAACACTGATCCTAACAAAAACATTCGTATATCATATTCAAACCTATCTATAGAAGGTGATTTCATTTATCGCGTATATATATGAATCTGCATTGAATTGATAAAATTAATTATATATATATAGGGCCCTTGCAGAATATATATGTATAATTATATAAAAAATTGCTAATGATTGTATGGTTCGCGCTTAATCTTTTAAGATACTATAATATATTTTACAATTGCAGACAGACAGTCGGCATCTACTGTTACTCCATGCATGCAAGCTCGCTCTCGTGAACAAAGCAAAAGAAGTATAAAAGCAAAATAAAGTATAAAAACAACGAGATGGAATTTGTCCTCACTCATGTAATGATACTATACTGCCTGGTCTTGTCCTCGGCAATTAACGCCATGGTTCATCGACCATATTTTCCGCGAAAAGAAAATACAGGTATACAGTGCATGAAGTAAAATAAAACGTCGTTTTCACTTGTGTCTTAAGAATATAAGCGTAACGAACTATCAAAACGCAAAATAATGAAACGTGTGCAATGAAACATGAAACACAAGCATCGACATTTAAGCATATAAGCTAACACAAGACTTCCAACCATAATTCAAAACGAGACAAAAGAAACTTCAGATGATTTATATTTCATGCTCGGTCTTTTTTGTCTATCCATATTCTATCTCTTATGGTTTTGTTATACTATAGTTAAAACTAGGCACAACAAACTAGTTATTTAGTGGTTAGCCGATTGAATCAAGTTTTAATTCGTTCGTGCACATTTATGTATAGTGATTATGAATTGCGCGTGTATAAGCTACTTACAATACATAAAGGGTTCTTCAATCGCATTGCATGAATGTGCATTTACAAAGGCGGGGTACAACAATGAAGTTTCTTTTCAAAAACCTACCGATCTTTTTCCAACAGCTGTTGATGCAGTGGTGGGTATCAGTGCATGCCTGACCTGACCAATATAAATATATTATATGTAAATTGTCAATTGTCTGGATATTTTGTTCTTTACTCAGCTTTGGACGCGGTACTTCGAGCCTTCTTCAGAATTTTGGGGTTGATTTTGTATATTTTTATAAATGTTAGCATGCTATCAAAATAAATGTTAGCATAATATCCTATGTTATGACTGATCCGTCCCTCCCTCCCTATAACTGCGTCCCTACCTCCCTCCCTCCCTCTCTCCCTCGTAGTTGTCACTTTGAAGGGGATTTCTTTGAATCGTGAAGATCTTGATTGCTGGGAATCTATGTAAAGGTCGTGTATATTTACATATCGCAATTAACGCGTTTCTATATACTGCATGTGCGTGCGTACATATGAAATGCTGACGACGGCATCTGGTGTGCGCTGATGCAAATTACCCGACTGCATACACCCTCATGCAGTCGTTCAAGCATTAAATTATATATACAGCGAACGTGAAACACTACGGCAAAGCTGAATTTGCTGCTTCTCTAAATACATCAGAAATAGCCTATTGCTTCCTTACATTATACTGCTGAGCAGCACAAGTTTTATGTAGAACGTTTGTAATTTAGCGAAATTGCCGCACACTTAAAGATAGTGAAGTAACTGAAGTTAGAATAGAAACTTTGTTAGCGGTTTGACGTTTGCCGTAAACGGGTATTTGATATCAATGATTTATTTGCCGTTCGGGTATTTGATATCAATGATTTATTAAAAACACTGCAGATTTTTCGAATCTCTACTTTTTTACCTGAATATCAGATCTCATGCTGCGTGCATCGAGTATTTTTCCCGACTCTAAGAGTCGGAAATGTGGGAAAAAGGATCTTAAATTACTGTTTAGTGGCGCAGCCAGCCTGCTGTTTCCATGTGTCGTGAACATGTGAAGGTAGTTGATGCATGCGAGTCAGAGTCAGAGATGTGAATATATAAAAATAATCATGTGCAGTCAATAATGATCGATTTGAATGCAGAATAAGAGACAAATTTCCATCGCCACTATTTCCCATCAGTGAATAATGAAGAAGCCTTGTTCACGACAATTACGATTAAATGGAAACCAGGCTTTAGTCTCGCCATGTAATTTTAACTAGTTATTACCATCGTTAATTTCTTAAAAAATTCCCCGAATTAATTAATTTCTTAATAAATTAACCGAGTGGCTTCGCCACTAGCACAAACATTGTATAAAACGGCCGGTTTCGATGATATAAGTGTACATTGAGAGCAAGTTTGTATCCACGACAAGCTAATAAAAGTATGCATAATACACTTTGCATATGTTTTGCAAGTTTGCATATGTTTATTAGCCTCTTTACTACAGGATTTGCTGAGCAGATGCTGCCAGATAGCTTTCGTGTCCGGCAGGCTATGAGTCTTATAAATTCATTATAAGTTTGTATTCATGAAATTTAAAGGTAAATCGCCAGTAAAAGTGAAATTGGCATGTCCAGTTAGGCTTGCATTCACAGGTGAGACAATTGACATTCGCGAAGTTAAGGCCGGCGCACACTAGAGCTATGTCAGGCATCTTATAATTCTTAGCACAATAATTTACGACAGAGTGCATTCACATTCGTTTATGTTTCTATTTTTTTTAGTAAACGCGAGGCAAATCGCTGCACAAAAATGCAATGGTCTTCCTGATCTATGCGAGCTACGTATCGATCAAGTAACATTTGCAGGCAGTCACAATGCTGGATCCGGATTTGATGGGCGTCTCCATTGGTGGAGCGGCGGAGCGGCACCTTCGTGTTTCATTCGTAACCATGGCAAAAGTTTCTCGGAGCAGTTGGACTATGGTATACGTTACTTCGACATCGAAACCTGTTTTGGTGAAACAGAAGCCTTAAATTGCCACTGTGGCAAGAACGTCTGTGCCTACGCAGGCTCCATCGAAGAAGGTCTTAAACAAATCGACAGTTGGATGCAATCTCATCCAAGTGAGGTTGCAATAATCCACTTCAACAGCAATGTGCAAAAAGGTTATGAGAAGAATATTTCGCGAAGCATCGAAAGCACACTGATGAAACTGTGGCCGCCAAATAATTCCGGAAAGCTGGCGATGAGTGGCTACTACATGACCCATGGAAACTGGCCAAAACTCAAGGACGCCATACGACCAAACGAAAGAATTTTAATTTTCGTGGCTTATGAACTATATCAATACATGTCTTTACAACATAAATGGCTTGTGTTGAGCTTCGGGCAGATTGTGTCAACCCGGGATACGAATCCAGTGACCTCGAGCTGTTCAGGCATAACCGAACAAGCCAAAGAGAAATGTGGCATCCCTGGCTCGTTTTATACATTCATTGAGGTTTCGGCATTCGGGAGTTATGGCAAATGTATTTGGGACATGGCGGAGACGTGTTCTTCCTGGTTGGGCGAAGCAGCATTTGAATGCTACAATTTGAGGGAAAGGCGGGATTTGACGGTGAATTTCTTGCTTGTGGATTGGGTTGATTACTTCGCAGGCGGGGAATCTGTCATCAACAAGGCGAAATTCATGAACCAGAAGAACATCCAAATGTACCTGGGCAAAAGCATCTTTTTTCCAGAACTGTCAGGCTGTGCATATCATTCTAGTTCGCATTCAAACTACTGCTGGAAGTATTGTGCCAAGTATGGATGGTGTTGGATAAATGTAAAATGCGGTGAGGATCCCGATGTTTGCAAGAAACAAGACTACCGGTGTTACTCCAGCTGCGGATACTGACTATACTGAAACATTTACTAATATTTTTGTTTCCATGTGCTCCATTGCATGGTTGATATCGTAGGTCAGAAAGTCGTAGGTCATTTTATTGTTTAAATCTAGTTAGCATTATAGCGTTAGTAAATAAGCTCATTAACCATTTGAAGTGTAATGTAATTAGTCTAGTGATCGTATGTATGTAGCCTGAGAAGATCCTGAAAAATATTTCAGCACCATCTTTTCATATAGGCATTAATAAATGGCATAAAATATGTTCTGTGGAGTGCAGTTAATCAAGGGCGCCAGAACCATGGGGACAGCTCACAGCAGGGGCATCTGGCGCCAACATTGCCCTTTACTTACATAAGTAAGCAGGGGCAGCCCTGTGTCCCTATTTGCTACTATGTAAGTGATGTAACAGTACCATACACTGTTATCATGAAGCCCCTCTTAAAATTAAAACTACCGGGAATAGCAGGTTCGCGGGTATTTGTTAAATTGCGTTTCCTCTTCGTCTGGTTGCAAAGGTAAAATGAATGTGTCCTTTTCTAAGGCCTAAGGGCCTGTTCATGTGCGCAAAAGTTTCCGACAAACCAACTTGTTTTGTCCTGTTCATATGACGAAACTCCATCCCGCATTTCCCCGCAAACCGGGTAAAGTTTTCAGCTGTGACGTTACTATTCCTAGTTGGCCGAAGTTGGCGACAACTTAGGAATTCAAAGAAGATGTTTGACTGGGACAGTTGAATAAAAGACTAGTTTACTTTTAATTGTAGTTAAAGACAAAATTAGCCAATCAGAGGACTGTATTCAGTCTGAGTTAACTAGGATTTAACAATGCAAAATGTAGTTAATTAAAGAGTTTTATACAACCGACCCCGGACAGAATAAATTTTGCTGTAGTGGGCCTAATCAGCTGTAGTGGCAGTAGTGCTGAATAGTATTCAGGTCAATCCGTGAATGAGTCAATTTGGTAGAGAGTGATAAAAATGCAGGGTAATTAAAACATGATATTATGAAAAATACTATACTTTTTCACTTTTACTATCAAGGCGGACACACACCAGACGCGACCCGCCAACGCCAAACGATTTTTATGAGTTTTCTGTTTTCGGCTACCAGCTTTGGCAATGTTGTGATATTTTTGGCAATTACTGAATGATAGTACATTTTTACTGGTCTGGTACCCATATCTCACAAATTTTTCTTTCAGAATTGAATTTTATATATAATATTTGCTTCTGAAAATGGAAAATTTGCATCACGTTAGTGTACCTTGATATTGCCTGCCAACAGAAGTTAGTATGGAACATCTTACATGAAGTATCGAGCTTGATATACAATATGGCTGGCGAGGAAGTTCTGCTTATATCAGAACATGTGAGATATAAGAAAAATAATGGGAAACTTATGTTGCTTTCTGATAAAATAATGTGGACAGCGGACGGAGCGGATAAACCACGGCTGTGCTACGTTTATTCCGATATCAAAGGTAGGAAATACACCAGTCTCTGCCACTATTAACGATGGCGGATGCAGCATTTAACAAATTGCTTTGATGATATTAATACTAGTTTTCAATTAATATTCATCATTATGCCCTTCTTATAAATCTAAGGATCAGTTAAAGGTGCAAATTTGTACAACGTTTTAAATACATGCATTATTTTTAAACCCATATTGTGTATTACGAACAAGTGAAGGTTTGTGTGATTATAGGAACCCCATTGTATAAGGAATTTAAGGTCTATGGACTATAGTGATCATTTAATACTTAGCTAGTACTAGTTTAGACTCTGAATGGAGAGAGGAGATACCTAGAGAAATACGCATTATATAAATATCCTGGGCACCAGAACCATGGGAGCAATCATGGCAGCTGCCTCCACTGTCCTTTGCTTATAGGAATGAGCAGGGGCAGCCCTGTGTCCTTTGCCACCATGTAATATTTAGTAATATTCATTCGCCATTTTAATAACGATCGATGCCTACTCTTTGCATTAAAACTAACTGGTAATACTTAGTATTGAAAATGTATTCTCCCCTAGCTGGATTTGCAAGTTAATTTGCATGCATGTTACCTCTTCATGTGGTTGCTAAGGTGATCGATTATAGATGAACCCTTTTCTAAAGCTCTGACTCTGTTATCCTACAGTGCTTTTGGCACCCCCACCCCCCCCCCCCCCCCTCCCCCATCAATATGTACCTGTTTTCATAGGCTGTGTTAGAGAAATAAATATTTTGATTATCAGATAAGAATTTACACTCAATTGATAATATAATATATAGTAAATAACTACTTTTGGGAAGTGTGTGAATCAACTATATGTATTTTAAGGTGAATAGCAAAGTAATTTTACTTCTGGCCACTAAAACCAAGGAAGGCTGCCCAATCCTCAAACGCAAATCAAATCCCCTCACGAGTTCAATTCACTTTGAATGCAATGCTATTATTAGTTTACATACCATAGCAATATGGTATGTACCTAAACATGTTTGAATCTATTTGCGCCAAGTAATTATATCAAAAGGATTATGCTTCTTGTATTTTCCATACAAATTTAAACCTAAAGTTGCAGCTAGCTAATTAGATTTAAATCTAGCTAGATATAAATCTAATTAACATCTTATTACTTGTATATAAATATTTAATCCCACACCAGTGTCAATGTCATGAAATCTCACAAATGTCAATGTTATGCTCGAAATCTTTCCATTGATTTAAAGAAACAACTTTAGATTCTTAATTGATTAGCGATAACACAATTTCTCTGCTACATACACTCAATGATTGTGACTGTTTGAGAGTGAATGAGCTTTTTTGAATACAGGCATTAGGAGAAATGCAGGAGAAATCAAAATATGAAAAACCAAAAAAAAAAACAAATTAGAACACTATTACCTTGCTAAAATCTAAACAGACGCCTGGATGCAAGCTTATGAATATCGAATATCGAACAAGGTTTTCTAATTTCGTAACGGGACAGATTTAATATAGTTTTGTATAACACCTTTCACCATATAAACAACGCGATAGGTTATAGCGTTTGCTTCACTATATGTTGCATAAGAGTCCTACAAGCTTAAGGTCCCGAATAACAATCGACACCGCCGCGACAATAAATTTAATTAATCGTAATACTTTCGACAGAATGAAAGACATTTATCATTTATAGACCTGGAGTGAGAGTGGTTTTGCGAAATATTTCCCGAAGTGATGATGTTCCGCTCGGGTGAATCTGCCTAAGGGAGCGTCTTGTATTGTACGAAAATTTGTTATCCCTAAACGTAAAACATGGGCTAAAACATCATAACTATAAATATCACTAGTTGCGTGGCCTCCACGATTAATATCGTTGATGGCCTTTAGCGACGAATATGAAGAAGGCGCTAGACAAAAGAATGGCAGAATATAGTATCTACCCAGTGGCGTAACTAGAAGGATAATTGGGGGGGGGGTGAATATTCATAAATTATATCCAGTTCTGCCCTACGGATTTCTTTTGTAATTGCAATAGCTTACAATAGAAATCCGTCGGGCAGAACTGAATATATGAATAGTCACCCCCCCCCCCAATTATCGTTCTAGTTACGCCCCTGTATCTACCGCCTACCGGTAAATCCATGATAAATTAAATAAACCAAAATGTTGGATTTAAATCGAAACACAAAAACGGATTTCGTTGCCATCATTTTCCCCATGACCTCCACTTGTTTATGTAGCTACTTATATAAAAATATGCTTTGTACGTATTTACGTAGTGCAGAGAATCAGCCCGGAAGGCAGCTCAAAAATGCAGCTTCAAACAGTGCTTCACGATGGCAACTCGTACAGTTTCCATTTTGTCAATAATGCCTATCCTGGCGCTGAACGTCGAGATCGTGATGACGTGAAGGATCTTTTAGCTCAATTAATACCTGCTCATAGGAAAAAGCAAACAAAGATTTGGAGGAGAAAATAAGTATGTTTCTGTTGGTGCATCCATATATGTTGGCGTATGCAACTCTGCCTCTTTGAAAAATCAAATTGCATGCTTTATTCTCTTTTTAGACTATTGCAAAACAATCCTGATCTCTACCAGCTATATAAAGATCTTGTTGTTGGTGACATTATTACAGCCGCGGAGTTTTGGGCAAACAGAGCAAATGAACAGGTAAATAATTATTTTATTTATGTAGTTTTATTTTTGTCGTCGTAACGAAAGTGTCATACCATAATATGCACAAATTTATAGCATGATATAGCTAATAGAATAAGTTAGTTGCTATACAGTTAGGATGCCCATGCGCATTCAAAAAATGTCGGGTTACTGTGTTAAATTGTACTCTCCTTTTTCCCAATTTTCCCCACCGATTCCAGGTTACACTTCGATGTCCCCATGTATACCCATTTCCCTAATATAGAAATTAAAATGATCTCCCACAAATTCGAGAACCACTTATAACTGTACACCAATTATAACTGCCTAATTCTTAGACATCTAGCAATGAAACAGGGTCTGGTGATGTTCAAACTATCGGTCTGTCGTCTGGATTTCTGGTAAGGATTAATTGTTAATTTCTATCTATGTGAAGTGATTGAAGGTGTACATGTGAAGGGATTTTACGTTACCATTTTGACTCTTTCTCCTCAATTTCACTTCATCAAAACCCTTTATATTCAAAATTTGGTTAGCTATCACTTTGCCGTTCAGTGTAGTACACATGCACATTTTACCCTTATTTCAATATATTTTTAGTCAGAGGTGAAACCAGAGAGTAGTGTTGCAATGAACTGAGATATAACTTGGACGCTGATACTATTGCGGCAATATTTAAAACATACCCGGCAGGTACGATACAAAAAATGTATGTCTTATTGTCGGCTACGAAATTTTATTACGGTCTTTCTAACAAGGAGTCTAACATTGTCGATTAGTTTAAAATTAAATTCCTCCTTGTTGGTCCGTCAATTTTTAGGCACGATAAAGTGAGGACAGTGTTGACAAGTTACCAAGTTAATGAAGGTGTCTGTATATAGTCACCTAGCCTCGTACCCACGATTTTCCTCCAAATCCCTTCGCCCATATTTCATTGCATTCCATTAGTAAACATGCTCAGTGATCTCCTATTAGTATTGAGTTTGAGTTTTCTACTGCAAAAGGGGGAGGGGATCGATCTACGATATAGTAACTAGAGAATTACCAGGAGTGTTTATACGTGAAACGAGACACTATTGCAATGACAAAACGCTGAGGTAAACGAGCTATATGCATGAAAATACACCTCCAGCGGTTAAAAA